GTACCTTTTCACTTGCCCTTAATTAAATAATACACCAGAAAGTGCCAAGGTCTCCCCAAGTTCTGTGAGCCAGGCTAACAGATGCCTGGGCCTGGGATGGAGAAACACATTTATGGCTGGTGGGTCAGAAGGGCAGGTGACATTGGGGGCTTGTGATCGGCCTGCCAGGCTGGGCTAGTGTTGAGGCCCTGAGCCCTCAGCCTGCAGAACCCAGGTCACATTCTTCACAGTGCAGTCCACTCCCAACTCTGCACTGAGCTGGGGCTGACTTCAGCTGAATGGAACTGAGGAGGGGCTGGGCAGGTGTGCGAGATGTGGCTGCTGCTGGGAGCCCTGGACCCTTGCCATGGTTTAACAGGAGAAAGAAAATGACCCAGGGAGATATCAGGCAAAAGGAATAGTTAGTTCATAAGCTGAGGCAGGTACAAACATGTCTGCGGTGTTCCAAAATTTGGGATATGGTGTGGCTGTTATTGGGGTAGGGTGTGCCACACCAGGCCTGGTAGATGCCTAGGACAGAAAAATACACTGCCTGTGGTGCTGTGTGCCTCTAAGCCCAGCTCTCTGGCAGTAGGGTCTCAAGTTTGAGCCCAGCATTGGCAACTTGACGAAGTAAAGAGACTCTCACTCTAAATAAAATTTTGAAAGATGCTTTGGGATGGAGCTCAATGAGAAGACACTGGAGTCAGTCCCCAGGACCACACAAACACACAGAGACACAGATTGTCTTGATTTCACATACATTTGCTTAATTTAATGTAGATTTAATGTACAGGAGAGAGCTTCAAAAGCAAGGAATCCAAAGCAGAAACTCCATGAGACAAGAGGCTCAGGATACCACAGAGCAGTGAACTGGAGGCATCAGAACTGAGAGACAGAGAGGCAGAGAGACTGAAGAGAGGCGGTCACCTCCTTCAGGGTCCCACCACACACTTCCCCCCTTCCACATAGTTCAGAGCCCTGCTCCCTGCGCCCTGATCTGATTAGAAGCAGGAAAGGCAGGGGTGGTGTTCTCAGGACTCTAATCTTTCAGCCTTCAGGCTGTAATGTTCCAGCGGCCCCAGGGCAGGCCAGCCCCCATGCAGAACCTTATAAGACCTATGAAGATTCTGAGAGTCAGCAGCCCACAGACCACAGCTCCACACAGGACAGCCAAGCCCTGAGCCCCAGAAGCTGAAGCCAGGTAACCAACCCTGGATTTTTTAGGCACAGGGGTTGCTCCCCACTTTCCACCCTTTGAGTTCTTGCCTATTTCTTGTCTCTGTCCTGCTGGGTGTGTGTCTCTCTCTCCCCCTTAGACCATTGCTTTGACTCAGTATACAGTGAGGGCTTTGGATTCCTCCTGCGTCCAGAGCACTGGGATTACAGGCGGTGACACCATGCCCAGACCCAGTGAGGTCTTAAAAGCACATACTCCACTGTCCTCTCCACTTGTTACTCAGCGTGTCTGTGTCTGTACCTTCCGTGGAATGGGGATAATATCAGCATCTGGCACCTGAGATGCCTGTGAAAGTCAGTCACCCCTTGTGTGGTATCAGTAAGATGCCTGGCACAGGGCTGCACCTGAAACTGTGCTGAAAGCACCTTAATTTCCATCTCAGTCTCCTTCAGCTTTGTGACCCTGAGACTTCTGTGTCTGGGCCCCTTCTCCTCTGCTCCAGGGTTCAGCCTCAGTCTTGGTGTCTCTGTCTCTGTCCCTAACTGCCCCTCATTCCTCAGTGTCCCTGCCGCCTCTGTTCTCACAGGTAGAGCTCACACTGTCTTCTCCCAGGATCTGGACGATGAATGGGCCTTTTGGTTGTCCCTACTGGGGTAGAAGCAGCAGGTGGCACAGGGCACAAAGCACCCTGGAGTACACCAGCAGGGTTTAGCAGCAAAGCTCACCAGCCACCAGTCACCAGCAGGCAGAGAGATGGCTCTGTGCCACTGTGGGCCTGCGTGTGTCTGGGTCCATTCCCAGCACAGCATGGATAGATATCAGCAAGGCAGAGGGTGAGAAATTGTGCCCTATATTACTTTTACTCGGCCAGGGTCCTGGAGTCCATGCTGGAGGGTTCTTTTCTACCTCCTGGAATGGCGGGGGAGGCTACAGAGTCAGTGGGTTTCCTTTTCAGCAGGTGCTGACATGGGGACCACAGCAGAAGCCCTCTGGCTCTATTTCCTGGGATGTGTCATCCACAGGGCCACAGGTATCTGAGTGCGGGGTGCTTGCTAGCCTGTGTGCACACAAAATGTGTAATCCAACACCACCCATAGGCCACCTGGGAGTCTGCATGGCACCAGGGTAGAAACACAGCTAGTGGAGGAGAGACAGCAACTGGATTCAGAGCCCAGCTCTGCTACCTCTTACTTGTGAAAGCCCCTAAGGTATCTGTGCATATTTTCCCCATGTTCAACAGAAATCTGAAAGCAGGTTACATAATACAGTATAAACACGTGTCTTCCCCAGACTCTGGCCCGGAGGTGGGTGTCTAGATGTTAGCTGTAATTAGCACCGGGACAGCACTGTGCATGGACCTCCTGCCCCAGGTGGCAGAGAATAATGGCAGTTGCTTCCTTCCCTGTGAAGGTTACCCCTTCTGAGACCCTGGAGAAGGTGGCCCTGCAGAGGGCTGGGTCCAGGTTAAGAAGTGTTTCTGAAGGACTGTTCTCTGTGCCCCACTGTCCACACTGTGTGTCCAGCAGACAGAATCCCAGGCGTGGTTGCCACTGTTCTCTGCCTTGCACAGAAGCCCCTCCTGCAGAATGGCTTGTGTGTGGTGACACTTGGTCTATGCCACTGGGGTGTTAGAGCATAGTGTAAAGCTTCAAGCTCAGAGGAGGTGTCTGGCCTTGGAACTGTCCTGCCTGAGCCCCAGAGGCGAAGCCTCAGATCTTGCCCCTTCTTGGACCTCCTGATAGAACCTGTGCCTTCCTAACCCTGACCCACCTGAGCCCTACTGGATACACTACTGAATCCATTACCGAGTCCCAGAGGCAGACACTCAGACCTTGCACCTCCTTGGCCCTCCTCATATAACCTGGGCCTTCCTAAACCTGACCCACCTGAGCCCTACTGGATACACTACTGAATCCATTACCGAGTCCCAGAGGCAGACACTCAGACCTTGCACCTCCTTGGCCCTCCTCATATAACCTGGGCCTTCCTAAACCTGAACCGCCCCAGCCCTACTGGATGCACTACTGGATCCACTACTGGATCCCATCCACCCACCCACTGGATCTTCTCTGTGCTCATCCTCCTGGCAGAAGCAGAGATTCCTCCCAAACAAACCAGCAGTCACCTCGCAGATGGGCTCCCCCCACTCAGCAAACGCATGTTTGATGGCTTTCCTTGCCATCCATTTTCCCCGCCCTGGGTAGCAGCACTTTTTGACAATTATGACCACTACTGTTCTGGAGTTCTGGTGCATCCGCAGTGGGTGCTGTCAGCTGCACACTGCTGGAACACGTGAGTAGATGCAGTAGGGGTGACTGTGAAGGGGTGTGGGGGACAGTGCGCTGGACTGGGAGGGGTGCGGCATGGCTTCTTCGGGCGGGACATTGTAGACAGGGTTTCAGCTCTGACATTGCCCTTCAGTGAGCAGCACATCCCAGGCTCGGCTTCAGCAGAAAGGGCTGAGTCTTGACCCATGGCGCTGTTCCAACACTGCGAAGGGGCTGGGCCAGTTAGTGAGCCCCAGCCCCAGAGGCTGCATATGACCAGGGCTAAGACTTTGAAACACTAGGCCTGGAGCAAAGCTGGAGCAACCTACAACAGGGAGGCTGCCTGGGATATCCACTTCCCCAAGCTGGGGAAACATTCACATCTCTTTGTTGGGTCTGAAGGATCCCCCATGTGGGAAGAGAAACCATGCAGGACCCTGAGGTTAATCTGAGTATGAAAGTGCAGAGGAGGAGATGGATCTCAGTTCCTCCTCTAGGAGCCAGATGGTGTGAATATGGGACTTCTTGTCAGCAGGTGTAAGGGGCCTGGGGCAAGGCGAGGGAGACAAGTGAGGACAGAGCCAGGTGGATGGGGAC